TCCTTCTCTCATGAGAATTAGTTCCAATAAAGAAAGAAAAACTAAAGAGCACCTGGGAACAACAACAAAAATATGTTTGCCTTTTTTTAAAATACTGAGATACAAAGATGATTAACTTTGTAATAATCATATTACAAATGAGGAAAAAACAGGAGGCTAATAAGGGCATAAATATTAGTACATTAATGTGTTAATGCATCAAAGTAGAAAATAATGACCCCTCCAAAAGAAGATTAGTGCATTAACTCATTAGTAAAACATTAATAAAAAATGAGAAATTGTTCAATCTAGCCTTATCTTAATTAAGACAGTATAAAAGGAATTAGATAATATGAAAGACACTGAAGGGAAGAGAAACAAAAACAAATATAGTAAGTGTTACTCAATTAAAGAGAGCAATTGTGTTATGGGAAAGGGATTACCCATTATTATACAGTGGTACCATGGGTTACAGACGCTTCAGGTTGCAGACGCTTCAGGTTACAGACTCCAGAAATAGCACTTTGGGTTATGAACTTTGCCTCAGGATGAGATCAGAAATCGCATGGTGGTGGCGGCACAGTGGCAGTGGGAGGCCCCATTAGCTAAAGTGGTACCTCAGGTTAAGAACAATTTCAGGTTCAGAATGGTCCTCCAGAATGAATTAAGTTCTTAACCCGAGGTACCACTGTATTATTCCAATCATTCAAGTTCTGGAATATTGGGATCTTCAACCTGTACAAGTGTTGATCCTTGTCTGGTCACCATCACATGAGCAGACGAGTGGTGCAATCCTTGCTGCGCCTGTCACAACTCTTACCTCCTTGCCAGCTTTGGCCCCTTTGTCATTCACACAGTGGTGGTAATGGCAGATCTGAAGTGGGGAGCCGCTCTAGGAGTGTAGATTCCTATATATTTTTGAACCTTGCACAAGCTGGGTTTTAAATGTGTGGGGAACCTACATGTGTGTAGAAAGGGGCCAAGTGCAGCAGTTTGGGCAGGTTCGCAAGCATAGGTCCTTCTTATGCAGGGGTCACCAATGCAGCACCCACAGACACCACTAGTACTTTCCACGAAAGGTCTCAGTGAATATCCCCACAAAAATCCACATTGAATGAGCGGCTGTTTGCTCTTAATGCTGTTTATTGTTTGCACTGGCTCTTCTTCTTCTATAACAAAAAAGGTAAAAGGTAAAGGACCCCTGGACGGTTAAGTCCAGTCAAAGGCGACTATGGGGTTTTGGCGCTCATATTGCTTTCAGGCCGAGGGAGCCGGCGTTTGTCCACAGACAGTTTTCCGGGTCATGTGGCCAGCATGACTAAACCACTACTGGTGTAAACACCGTTTACCTTCCCACACACCTTTAAACATGCCACATCCCACTGGATGCTAGGACAGGACACCCTTCTTCCCTCCCTTCTGTTTTGAACTGATGAGGGGTGAAAAGAGTATGAAAGCTGTGGTTGTTGGTGCAGGTGTCCTTTTTTCTGTCCATGCGGGGCTGACTCCCATGCTCAGGAATGATACTCAAGACTCACAGTTTGAGGAAACCAGAAAGCTGTATTCAGTAAATCAGTACATGGTCTCAACATTAGTTCAAGGTAAAAGGATACATGACACATAGGTCTATAAGCTGAGTTTTAAGATTCATGGCAAGGCATTAGCTAAGACATACACTTGACATGGGAGCCATTTTGTGACTGGTGCTTGTGACACTGTTTCAGAATTCCAAATGTGTCCAGCTGCAAAAACACACACAAAAAAACAAAAAACAAAAACCTTGCTGCCTCCTACCTTACTGATAGGTTAAAAGAGCAACTAGAGCTCTATCTAACATATTGCCAGTTTAATCACCTCTGAAGAGGCCAGAGGATCAGATTCAAGGCCTATCAAGTCCAGTATGGCCCACCAACAGGACATGAGGGAAATCGTCCTCTCCTGCTGTAGTTCCCCCAGCAAGTTGTAATCAGAGGTAGCATATAATCACCTTGACTAATAGCCAAGAATACCCTTCTCCTGTATGAATTTGTCTAAACTCCCATGCCTTTCCTTGGCTTGTGGCCAGTCATCAAGTTGGAATCATGCTGATGAACACCTACTCGTTTTTAAGAGAAATAAAGTGTAGAGGTGTTTCTTCAATGATCCCAAGCCGGTTGGGCTTCATTGGGGAGAGCATTTCATAGGCACAGGGCCACAACTAAAAATGCCATCTCCCTTTTTAAAAAGGTAGTGAAAGAAATCCCAACAAACCTTCCCAAAACCACTTCTAGTTTTTGTCAGTTCTGCTAGATTGTAAAACAACAACAACAACAACAACAACAACAACAACAACAACATGATTCCAGTGGCTCCAATTAAAATATAATATTAAAGTGCATTGGATCTCAGAACTGTAGATTATTGCTGCAAAGAATGACAACATGCACCATATATCTGGACTTGGCACAGGTTTTCCTGAAATGTCCGAACACTGAAAAGAAATAAGTGCAGGGCTTTTTGCAGAACCCCTGGAATTTAGCAGAAAGAAGATGCTGTGAATATGGACAATCACGAGCATAAGGTAGGCAGAGCAGGGTTGGGATAAGATTGGATACTGTGTGGCAGGACTGAGGTTGAGCAGCAAGTTGGGCAGCCTAAGGGCATGTCTGCACTGCAAGTGAACTTGTTTATATTTGGTGTGATGGTTTGTTTGCGGTGTATTTGTTTCAGTGCTGCGACAACTGGAATGGGATCATATGTTCATGAACTGGAATGGGAATCTCATTCTGAGCTCACCAGCAATAATTAGGCAATTGCAGGACGGTACAATATCTCTAGAGATGCATGGCTGTAGTTTCTAGTTTCCATTAACCTTCCAGGTCTCCTCATTTTTATGTTTGCTTTGACTCTCCAGCGAGAATTACCCAACTATGCATTCCTTCTGTATTACACCTAGACCTCTGTTTCTTCATAATTACAAAAGGATCTTGGCTGTTCATGAGCAATATAAGAAAGCTGATTCCAGATAGTGTGAGGAAAAGGGAGAGTGTATGCAATATGTCCCCAAAGAGATAAGAAATGTTAAAGGGAGATGCAACATGTATAGATGGTATGAATGAATGCAATAGTAAGCCCCTTGTGTAATGTTCTTTTATATAAATGGAACGTGCACCTGTATAGTTATATATGCATCATAAACCATATATTGATTTAAAAGGGAAGTGGGGGAAGATAATGGGAGGTGGGGGAGGAATTAAAAAGATGGGCAGTTACTTGGTGCTATGTGTCTGCAGATACTCCCCGTTTGGTGCCATAACCACAAAGTCAATCCTGTTGCAAGGAGTTCTCTCTAACTCCCCATTCTCGCCATTTCAAAGGAGCATTGGCAGTGGTGGCTGCCAGCCACCAGCTAATGCCCAATGGGAAGGCAGGGGAAACCAGCAGTAGGTGGAGCCAGAGCCAATGGCAGAGAGAACCACATGCTGACTTGTTATAAGAAGGTAGGCAGGTCGGGGATGACTGAGAGCAGATTGAAGATTCACTCTAATGGACCAGCCTCCACCAAGCACTGGAGTTCTGACAGACCTTCAGCTCTGCTGAGTGACTGCTACTTTCCCCTGTGACTCTTTCCTTTCCTTACAAGGGGCTGACCTGCCTCATACCATGCTTTGAATTAACTATAACTTGGTGGTGTGTTCTTGCTGCAGAGTCATCATTGGCGAGGAAAAAAAATATCTTTCACAAGTTCAGAGGCACTCCTTTCCCAACTTCCAAGAAACTGAAAATGAGTTGTTGCAGGTCCGGTTTTTCAGTCAGATTAACTCTGGCTTAATTACTAGGCCACGTTGCCAAGCCATAGTATGAGAAACTCACTGGAGAATAAGCTGGGATGGGCTCACCAGGAACAGGTAGGGTATAGTTTTTTGGGGGGCAGGGGGCTTTCTTAGTTCTTCTGAGGCAGCCAGTACAGTCCTGCAGCTGGCTGTTCGTTTATTTGGTGGTTGAACCAGCCAGAGATAATCATAAGTAAATCATAAAAAGAGGCGAGGAGGGAGAGAGAGAAAACCAGTAGATAATATGCTGCAGAAGGGTTTAACGGGGTGAAAAATTGTCTCTTGCCGAACTGTCTGTGACACTAAGCACTGTCTGGGAGATCTTCACTCTTCTTCCCCCATAGAGGCTTAAGGGAAGCGACAGGCAAGGCTGCAAGCCAGCAGCTGGGGGCTTTGGAAGTGACAGGAAAAGAGCCTAGGCCTTTTCTCTCTCTCTCATCAGCATCTTTCAGCATCTCGCAAATGCAATCAGTCGCTTAGGCGGCTTCCTGTGCAGAGGAGCTTTCTCTCTGTCTGCCAAAGTAGAAAAGTGATGGGGGCATCCCTGGGACCTTCTCCTTCACTCCTAAAACACTCTCTTTCCCTGATTCATGGTGGTGTATCATTTACATTGCACTGCCAGCTCAGCCCCTGCTGTGAAGAGAAGTCTGGCCAAGGGCTTGTTATAGAAATACAGAATTCATTAGGCGTCAGGGAGAGATTTGATCCAGTCCACATTTACCTAATCTGCACTTTCTGAAACAGTATTAAAAATTAAAAATAAAAAAACCCCTGCCCTCATTCAGAATTTGTACCTCTCCAAATATTGCAATACAATTCCCCAGGTGAGTAATGTGTACAAATATGCATGTACTAGGGCAAAGTGTGCATGAACATGCATATATTAGTGAAAATCACATGCATAAATGCATTCTGTTTGAGGAAATGTATATATTGGGTAACATTACATAGAAAGGTGTACATATGAGGAGCACCGTAAAATGCTGATGAATGTTCATGAGGACTTTGCACTCTGATATGGAAATGTGGGGAAGATTAGAATTAAATCCATACATGATGTCTTTTAGATGGGGTTGTGTGGAGGGCTAAGCTTCTTTCCCACTCCACAGATCCCTTGCTAACTGCCCTTACTGTAGGCAAACCACTGAGAACTATTGTCAGAGCTGGCTCCAGGTCCCAGCTCACAGAGGACCAACGCTAGCCGGCAGTAATGTACAAAAGTCTTTATTGAAGTACAGTTTCCATTTTCAAGCCGCAGCGCCCCAGCTCTACGTCTAGGGGTTAGATCGGCGAAGCTCCATCTGAGTCTCCGCCCCCTGTACACCAGTTTAAGATTCTAGCCTTACTCCACCTCTTACGTCTCTCCTTTCTCCTCTGGGTCCTGCTACCCCCCGGGGTCCCTTCCTTCCTGGATTCTTCTGGCGCTGACCCCCTGACTCCTCCCCTCTTTTCGGCGGGCTTTGGGACCTGGCTCCCTATCCGGGCTGCCAACTGCGCCGCCCTCCTGTACATTTGAACTTGGCGCGCGCGCCCAGCCTTCAACCTTCCTCTCGACCGTTTCCTCGCTCCCCGATGGAGGCGTGGCCAATCCTGACTCATGTCCTCCCACTGGCAGTGCGCCGCCTGATCCCGATGCCTGGGACCCCTCCCCCCTACTGCACTCTGGTGTGGACGCTGGTCCTGATTTCCAACTGCTGCTCTCTGAGTCCCCTCTGGCCCCTTCTTCCTGGGGTGTCCCCCTCGGCACCCCCTTGCTCTGACCAAGGGAGCCCCTTTCTGTGAATCTTCCGATTCGCTGGAAAGACTCAGAGACCTCGGACCGCTGTCATCGCTAACATTTCCTTCGGACTCCTCCCCCTCGCTCTCTATTTCCTCCCTTTCCTGTGCCTCTGCTCCTGAACCCCTGACATCCATCCCCCTCGAAGCCCCCCTTCCACCCTCCCCTCCTTCAGGTGTGGGTACTGGGTGCTCCGTCGTTGTGGGGGTGAGTGCCGGATACAGTTCGTCCCCCGTGGCGTGCATCCAGCCGGATAAGTCCGGCTCGTCCTCCGTGCTCTCGCCGACCTCAATTTCCTCTGCTTCCATCTCTTTGCCGCCGTGCTCGAACCCAAGGTCCTCCCCCCAACACGTCCATGTCCGTCTCTCCCCCGGTCTCCTCCGGGGACGTTGCCTGCCAAGGACCCCCCAGCCACTTCCTGCGCCACTGCTCCTCTGGTTGATTGTCCCACCAATAGGAACGGTCTGAGGCAGACCCCGAGGGTGATCCCTCCGGGGAACGTGTTTCTAGTGCCGGTTCCTCGTCCGAGGTGAACCCCTGGAATGTGCTAGCTGAAAATGTGGGTGTGAAAAGCCAGTCGTCGAAATACTCGGCTGGCATGGGCCTGTGTGGGAAAAGGGCATGAAACTCGTCCTTGAGAAAAGGTTCGTCCAAGGCATGGTCTGGCACCCAACTGTTGGCGCTGGCCGGGGTACCTTCTCTGGCGAGAAGATATTCTACTCCCTCTTCCCCCCATCTCGAGTCTAAAATCTCTGTGACTTCGTTGACGGGTTCCCGCCTTGGCGACCCCCTTGTGGGCGTTTCCCTGAACGGGTCTGGTGCCGTTCCTGGCTCCTGAAATCTATGAGGTGCTTTGTAGGGCGTGAGCACTGATCTATGGAAAACTGGGTGCATTCTGGATCCCTCCGGCAGTGTCAACCGGAAGGCCACTGGATTGACCTGTGCCTCGACTTGGTAGGGTCCTAGCTGCTTATGCCCTAGCTTCTTCTTCGCTAACGATCTGGCCGGCACTGCCTGGGCTGCTAACCAAACCCAGTCTCCCACCTGTATGTCTTCCCCAACCCTTCTGTGCTTGTCAGCCTGCAGTTTGTATGCGTGCTTTGCTAGTTCTAACTGCCTCCGAAGCTGTTCGTGAACCTCCTGCAACTCTGATGCTAAGGCTTCCGCTGCCTGTGGCTCCCCCTCCCCCGCTCTCGCTAATCCCGGGAAGGTTCTGGGATGCCTCCCGTTGTTGGCGAAGAACGGTGTCACCCCCGTGGACACGTGCTTCGTGTTGTTGTAGGCGAACTCAGCGAGCGGCAGGTAGTCCACCCATGTTGCCGGCTGCTGATTTGCGTAGCATCGCAGGTACTGCTGCATGATGGCGTTGACTCGCTCCGCTTGTCCGTTCGTCTGCGGGTGTCTCGCCGACGCTAGGTTGATCTTGACGTTCAGGAAACCCATCAGCTTCTGCCAGAAGTTCGAGATGAACTGTCGCCCCGGTCGGACAGGATAGACCGTGGCAGACCGTGAACCCTGAACACGTGGTCTATGAACAGTTTGGCGGTCTGTTCCGCCGTGGCCACCTTCGCGCACGGAATGAAGTGGGCCATTTTGGTGAACATGTCCACCACCACTAGCACTGCCGTCTTGCCCCTCGAGCTGGGTAGATCCGTGACAAAGTCCAGGGCCACCCTCTCCCACGGTTCGAGCGGTGTCTGCAGCGGTTCGAGCAGTCCCGCCGGCGGTTTGTGCACTGACTTGGCCCTTTGGCAGGTGTCGCACCTCGAGACGTAATCCGCGACTTCCCCCGCATCTTGGGCCACCAAAAATCTCTGGCTACTAATTCTACCGTCTTCTCTTTGCCAAAGTGCCCGGCGGTGGGTGCGTCGTGCAACTGCTGCAGTACTTTCGCGCGGAGGTCGTCTCCCGGTACGTAGAGGGCCCCTCTGCGGATGAGCAATCCGTCGCGTATCTGGAACTCGTCGTCCTCCGCCGTGCCCCTTTGCACCTCTGCCATCTTTGCTTGCGCGAAGGGGTCCTCCTGCAGTGCTCGACGTACAGCATCCAGGTCCACGGTTGCTGAAGCGCACGCCCACGCTTTCGGTGCGAAAATGTGCTTGGCCGCTGCTGGTGCCGCCTCCTCGAGGTATTGCGGCTTTCTGGACAGTGCATCCGCCATGATGTTGTTGTCGCCTGGGATGTACTCTATCCTGAAGTCGAAATCCGCAAAGAACTCCGCCCATCGTATGTGCCTCTGGTTCAGGAACCTTGCCGTGCGCCAGTACTCCAGGTTTTTATGGTCCGTGCGGACCTGCACTGTGTGTTTGGCTCCAATGAGGAAGTGCCGCCACGCCTTGAATGCTGCATGAATGGCCAGCAACTCCCTGTCCCAGATGGTGTAGTTCTGCTCTGACTTGCTGAGCTTCCTGGAGTAGAAGGCACACGGTCTCCAGTCCCCATGCGGGTCTTGCTGCAACAGTACTGCTCCCACGGCTCTGTCTGAGGCGTCCGTTTCAACCCTCATCGGTCTGCTGGGATTCACATGCAGTAGCTGCTCTTCGGACGAGAAGAGACGCTTGAGTTTCTGAAAGGACTGCTCCGCTTGCTCCGTCCAGATGAACTTCTTCTTCTTGGAGCTGAGCGTGTCGGTAATGGCCGCCGTCTGCATCGCGAACCCCTTGATGAACTTGCGGTAAAAGTTGGCGAAACCGACAAACCGCTGGACCTCCTTCCGATTGCGCGGGCTCTTCCAGTCCAACACTGAGCGAACCTTGGCGCTGTCCATGGCGAGCCCCTTGTCCGACAACTTGTAGCCCAGGAAATCTACCTCCTTCATGTCGAACTGGCACTTCTCCAGCTTGGCGTACAGCCTGTGCTCCTGCAGTCTCTGCAGAACTTCCTTGACGTCTCCCTCGTGGGTCTCCTCTGATTCTGAAAATATCAGGATGTCGTCCAGGAAGCAGACGCATTTCTTGTAGAGGAGACCCGCCAATACGTGATGCATGAAGGCTTGAAAACAGTGGGAGCCATTTTGTAATCCAAAGGGCATAACTCTGTATTCATAGGTGCCCAGGGGCGTGAACATGGCAGTCTTCCATTCGTCGCCCTCCCGTATGCGAATCAGGTTGTACGCCCCTCGCAGATCCAACTTTGTGAAACGCGTCCTTTCCTCACCGTTGCGAGCAGGTCATCTATCTTGGGCATGGGAAAGGCTGTGGGCTTGGTTTTCGAGTTCAAAATTCTATAGTCCACCACAAGCCTTTTTTGGGGCGTGTCCTTCTTCTTCACAAAGAATACAGGACTGCCCCCACTGCCTTCGACTCCTGGATGAAACCGCGCTTCAAGTTGAGGTCTATGAACTCCTGAGTTCCTGCAGCTCGTCTTCAGACATGGAATACAGTTTCCCGGTTGGCAGCGTCGCCCTGGCAGGAGGTCAATCTTGCAGTCATAGGACCTGTGGGGAGGTAGCTTGTCCGCTTCCTTCTCGCAGAAAACCTCCAAAAACGCTGCGTACTTGAGTGGCACTGCTTGCAGCGTGCCTAATTGTAGCTGCGGGTCATCCTCTTCCCCTTCCGGGCTAGGCAGAATGCAATGTTCCGCACAGTATGAGGAGCCGAAGGTCAGTTGTCGCTGGTACCACGCCAATGCTGGGCTGTGCCTGTGCAGCCAACTCATGCCTAATACTATAGGCGTGTCCGACAGTTGGGTGACATTGAAGCTGATGACTTCTCGGTGATTCCCAATTTGCATCACCATCGGAGGCGTTTGCTGCACCACCTGCCCCCAGCAATTCCCTGCCATCCACCGTGACAACTTTCAGAGGCAGCGTGGCTGGCAGGAGTGCTATGTTGTGCTCTTGAATGAAATCCAGTCCTATGAAGTCTGCGTTACTACCAGAGTCAATGGTAATCGGCACTTCCATAGTGAGTCCATTGGGTAGTTGGAGCGATGCTGTGAGCTGCACCACTGGTTTGGGCGGGAGGGGGTCTGTGGGCTGCAAAATCTCTGGGGACGGCTTCATTGACTTGTCTGGCTGGGCCCCAGTGCCTCTTCCTCCAACCAGACTCTGTCGTTTCCCTGCTGTGGTTCTCTCTGCTGAGTTGCGTCTGTTACTGTTGCTGAGGCTGCAGTGTGCTTGTGGAGCCTCTGGGGACACTCTTTCGCCATGTGCTGAGCACTGTCGCAGATGTAGCACTTCCTGTTCCCTCTAGGAGGCTTCGCTTTGACTGCTCCCGGTGTTAGGGCTCTGGTTGCTGACTGAGCCCTGGCGCCTCCAATCTCCATCGGTTGCTCTCCCCTCCTTGCGGAGGTGGGGATTGCACACGCGCTGCATCCTTGGGAAAGAGGGAGGTGCTCTCACTGGCGTACGTCCCCAACGTCCTTCTTCTCTGTTCCATGGACGTTCTTCCAGACGCACCCCAATTTGCAGCGCCCGCCGGACAACCTCCTGAGTGCTCTTTGGTCTCTCCCCCCTTGCAATCTCATCTTTCACATTTGCATTCAAGCCTTCCCAAAAAGGTCTCTGGCTGGGGCAGAATCCTTCTCCCATCCCAGCGCATGGACTAATGCAAAAAGCGGGAATGGTACTGCCTTACACTGGCTCTGCCTTGTTTGAGCCCATGTATGTCTTTTCTGGCGATATCAATGTCTATATTTGATAAAAAACACGAATCCATCGCTTTAATGAATGCATCCGCATTTTGGAGCGCCGGATCCTTATCTCTCCACAGATTGCGCAGCCACGCTTTAGCTTCCCCATGCAAATGGGACAAGATAAACCCCACCTTCTCTTGCTCATCTCTAAAGTCTTTATCCAGCAGTTCCAGCGCAAACAGCACGTCTGCTCGGAAGTTAGGGTACTGCTGCAAATTCCCATCGAAATGAGATACCAGGCTGCCTCCTCTTTTCCCCAGCCCAATCCCCTCTGATTTGGGTCCCGGTTGCCCCTGCTTAGCAAGCACTTCCAACCTGGCTTGGAGATCCCTGCAGGCGGCAGCCGCTTCCTCTTCCCTTTTCCTGGATGCGAGTACCTCCGCGTTGAGTTGTGTCACTGCATTTTGCAGGGCTGCTAGTTGCTGTTCTGTAGTCATCTTGCCTGACTTTTGTGAGCTCGCGAAGCACCAATCTTCTTCCCTCGCTGCGTCCACTCACGTTACGAGGTTTTGGTGCAAAACTTTAAGAGATGGAGCTTACTGTCAGAGCTGGCTCCAGGTCCCAGCTCACAGAGGACCAACGCTAGCCGGCAGTAATGTACAAAAGTCTTTATTGAAGTACAGTTTCCATTTTCAAGCCGCAGCGCCTCAGCTCTACGTCTAGGGGTTAGATCGGCGAAGCTCCATCTGAGTCTCCGCCCCCTGTACACCAGTTTAAGATTCTAGCCTTACTCCACCTCTTACGTCTCTCCTTTCTCCTCTGGGTCCTGCTACCCCCCGGGGTCCCTTCCTTCCTGGATTCTTCTGACGCTGACACCCCTGACTCCTCCCCCTCTTTTCGGCGGGCTTTGGGACCTGGCTCCCTATCCGGGCTGCCAACTGCGCCGCCCTCCTGTACATTTGAACTTGGCGCGCGCGCCCAGCCTTCAACCTTCCTCTCGACCGTTTCCTCGCTCCCCGATGGAGGCGTGGCCAATCCTGACTCATGTCCTCCCACTGGCAGTGCGCCGCCTGATCCCGATGCCTGGGACCCCCCCCCGACTGCACTCTGGTGTGGACGCTGGTCCTGATTTCCAACTGCTGCTCTCTGAGTCCCCTCTGGCCCCTTCTTCCTGGGGTGTCCCCCTCGGCACCCCCCTTGCCCTGACCAAGGGAGCCCCTTTCTGTGAATCTTCCGATTCGCTGGAAAGACTCAGAGACCTCGGACCGCTGTCATCGCTAACATTTCCTTCGGACTCCTCCCCCTCGCTCTCTATTTCCTCCCTTTCCTGTGCCTCTGCTCCTGAACCCCTGACAACTATGTTTTCGCTCTATCCCAGCAGTATCAATGCTTTCCTCAGCATCTTCTGAAATGAACCTTTTCAGGGGGCTAATGCCTATGTCACCAATTGTTTGGGATTTTGAGTTGAAAAACCAAGAAACATCTAGGAGAACAAATAACTATTGACAGACTTAGGTCTGTTACATTCAAAGCACTATGAAACAGTCCCGGCTTCACCCAAAATATTCTGGGAACTGTAGGGGCCTGAGAGTTGTTTTCAGAGTAGGTGAATTGTCAATCACTCTTCCCAGAGAATTCTGGGAACAGGGCCCAGACACAAAGAGGTGCATAAAAATAAACCCGGCCGGGGGAGGGGGGTCATATAACTCCCTACATAGAAGACTAAGTTGTGCATGTGTAGCACACTTCAAGCAAGCTTCAACCATATGAAGTGAGGATATCAGCTCTAATTATAAGGCGGGGTCAGTGGGGGAATTTACTACAGAAGGTTTTTTCTCTCTGGGAGCAGAACAGCTTCTGATAGACCTACTTCAGCTACAGAAGCATGTGAGGGTGGGGGGAGGGAGATGGCAAGTCTCCAAGAAAACTCTAAAAAAATCAGCAATCCCTATGTCACTGGCATGTTTGAATGTGGCTAGGAAATTTTATGTAAACTGTTCATGCCTCTAAATTATTCTGACCTTGTGGTTCCTAGGGATGAACTGCAATATCCACATTCAAGTGGTGGAAGAATAGTTATAGAAACCTGATTTTTTCCTGCCTCCCAGCACTGGTGCAAAAAGCAGGGAGGATAGTCCCAGGGGTATCACTATTCTATTAACAGCTCACGGACACCTGCCATACCATTGCCCCAATAATGAAACTGTTACTGTCGGTTATATTAATGGTGCTGTGCTATTAGGCTAAGTATTAAATTGATATTGCAATGGCTCCACATTATCATCATAGGAGCCGTGTTGTATGAGGTATTGCTTTTTCAGTAAGAGCAATGTGAGCTTGCTGCCCGGTAGCTTAACATTCAGATTTTCATTGTGTTTGATTATATTCGGAACATGTGAAATGTTGTTATTATTACTTTATTGGCTGTATTCATTTAGAGTCCTACAGATTATTGATCACGGCATTAGTGCAAAATGAGGGTGAATGAAATGCTTCTTTTAATTGGGCCAACCAGTCACTTAAGACAATTGCAAGCTTCTAACAGACAATGGGTTTTAGAATAAATGAGATCTTACTGTTTCAAGGGCATGTTTGGAAGACTCATTTTATACTAAATGAGAAGGGGGGGGGGAGAGAGAGACCTACAACCCACACACCCACTTACAGCCACTCTCTAAGAGACACAACTCTAACAATGACATAACAATCTTTATTGATATTATCAGCAGGCTAGCTGTAGTACATATTGACCCTGAAACAACTCTCCTACAAGGAAAGCTTACAATGTACAAATATAATCACATGATAGAGGCATGCGATGTTGTAGGGCCGACCCACCCATGAGGCAGACTGAAGCAGATGCCTCGGGTGGTGGAATCCTGTAGGCGGCACCCCCACAGAACTCCACCCGCCACTACAGGTGTTGCACGGTGGCGGCAGCTTCCAACAGGATCTTGCAAGAGTTCTGTGAGATCTTTCCAGAAGCTGCCACTGCATCACCCAAGTAAGTGAGGCTGCAGTGGTGGTGGGGAGCAACAGTGGGGGCAGCACCTTCCCACTTCACCTCAGGTGGTGAAGCAGTATGGGCCGCCCCTGTGATATTGAAATTCCCATAGTTAAGATTATGCATGTTGCTTTGCCTGTGCGATTGAGGGGGCTGGAGCCGTGCATCGCCAGCATGCCCTGCATCATGATTGTGGCGTGTGTGCATGCCCCACGAAATGCTGACTTCACTCGTGCATGCCGCATGGCATGCAGATGTGTTGTGCGGATGTCCTGTGGCTTGTGTGCGTGATGCAAGCAATGCCTCGCAGTGTGCACGCACAGTCGCAGTGGAACTTTGAGGGGGTCCAGCCCCTTCATTG